AAACAAATAATTCATATCACAAATTAGCCATTAATAGTAATCTTATAAGCTTTGAGATGAGTTATATTTATTATTGCATTCCCAATCCATTGATATTAATATTGGTAACTAACATAAAACAAATTGTTTTTGTAATAAATTTGTTCTATTTGTGACTTACATGAAATTAATTTTCACTTAATATAAGTTTTAATAATACTAAACATTGAAGCAGCCACCACAATAATAACAAATATTGTAAAGAACAAATATACATTTAAAATTAAAATTGATTAAATATTCATGTGCATTATAACAGATTTAATGTTATATTCACTCAAATAGTCAAAAAAAAACATTTTTTTTGCCTCAAAAACCATTAAAATATCAGAAAACAAAAGAAAACTTTGTAGATTAATAAGTGATTAATTATATTCATAAATTTATAGACAATTTTTATATTTTAAATCACTCTCTCTGCTATAAAGATTAAAGTTTATTAATAAATTATTACAAATATTGAAATTTTTCAAATTATATAAAAATTAAATTGAAGAATATAACTTATCTTTATCAAGAAAAATTTCATTTAAATCAGTCATTTTTAATTTGATCAGATTTGAAACTTTGATATTAAAAACATACTTTAATCTTTCAGCTTCATCTTCTGATATTTCTAATAAAGCTACTGAATCTTCAGTTATTTCCATATCTGGTGATAAAATACCATAATTAGGCAACAGTTGCCTAAAATTTGTAAAAGCTCCTGTACAAATCACAACTCTCTGTGCTTCAATGATATTACCACAATCAGTTGTTATCTGTAAATTTATAATGCATTTACTTTAAATGTTTCCTAATAGTATTAATAATCATATGAAAAAGAACAATTCAGAAAATATGGTATGGAAATTTTATTCTATTTAATGTCTTTTTTTTTTTTTTAATAAAGATATTTTACTTTCAAACAGTCTGAACTATCACATACTAAATGCATATTTCATCTGATATACAATCAATCAGATCACTTCCTTACAAATTTTATACTGATTCTAAAAATCTTAATTATATTCAAGAAAGAAATATAAGCTTCAAATAAACAAAACTTTCTCAATCCTAAAACTACTACTCTAGAAATATGTTGGAATGTCTCATTTCATGGAATAAAATTTTAACTATATTGACTTTTTAAATCTATTTTTCATCATTTTAAGACATCTTATCAGAATTTATATTAAGAGATGAATAGTTTTAATAATTAATAAAAATATTTTTAATTTTTTATATATTATTACTGAAAAATGAAACGTTTTTATATAGTATCTTTACCTGTAAATGATAGAAACATATACAAAACAAAAATTTCAGCAAAAAAGTCATGTTTAAGTATATGTATAAATTATCTATTAAATATTCAAAATTAAATAAAATTATTTTCATTTCTTTACTTAGTATGTAAAAATTTAATGCAATATTAAATATTGAAGTAGGAAAAAATACTTACAGTAGAGCATCGATTATCTGAAACAACTCGGGAATGGGATTGTTCGGATAACTGATCATTTATGAAAAAATATATTAACACAAAACTGTACTGTATATATTTTGTATCATATGTCTTACAAATACATATCTTATATAAAGTAGTACATTAAAGTAGACCTACAGTTTAGATTAACAGGGAGGGAAAGAGTGCTGCAACACCACAGCACTAGCGGAAATTTGAATTTGTTGACTGGAACACTTTTGGTTAACCGATGTTTTGATTGATTGGTATTCAGATAATTGATGCTCTACTGTATTTATAAATAAAATTCTCTCTCTATGACTATTTAATCATTGTATAAGTAAGGGCCCTAGGTTTTTGAATTTTACAACAAAAATCTTATTTTGATATGTTTATATAAATATTCAAGTATCTCTGTTGTGTTTAATTATGATAAAATAAATACCAAACACCTTATTACCAGCAAAAATTTTACTAAGAACAAATGATTTTGGTCTAATACCCTCTTTGGGTTCTCTAGCTTTCAAATACATTAAAAAATTTGCATTATGAAACAGATATTTGAAAATGTGTTCCAAAATGTAAGGAACAATTTAAACTGCAAAGCGTACTAAATAATTTAAAAGTATGATAAAGAAATAAATAAAGGTAACAAGAAGTAACATCCTTTAAACATGTTGCCCTTTATTTATTTATTTATTATACTTTTAAATTATTTAGTGTATTTTACAGTTTAAATTGTTCCTTACATATTGGAACACATTTTCAGTTATCTGTTCCATAATGCAATGAATTCTTTAATGTATTTTTTCCTTAAACTGTGATACCCTCTTACCCTTTTTATATACAAACTTATTCAATACATTAACTCTTTTAATGACCTTGGAATAATCTTAGATAATAAACTTACTTTTAAAAGACACACTGATAAAATAAAATCTTTAGCTATTTGTTGAAATATACTATGGCACTTTTGTACATCCATTTCATCTAAAACTATGTTCAATACAGTACTATATTCCCTCTTCTCTGCTAACTTCCAATAGTTATTTGATTATTGCCTTCTAATTTTGGCAATCATTGCTCCATCTCATTTTACTAAAATTTCTAAGGAATTTGATAAAATTTATCTTCTTTTAAACAAACTTGCTAACCTCCCATTTAGACCTAATCTTGATGTTGTTCTTGATGTTAATCTTGATGATAATAAGTCTAGATTGAGTCTTCCATCTCTTACTGATCATGTTAAATATTTTGATCATTTACTTTTTACAAATATTTCAATGGTTTTATTTACTTCAAATTGGCTTTCCCTACAGGTTCCCCAGAGGAATATTTAACCCAGAGGTGGCCAACAGTTTTTGCCTTCGGGCCGAATTGGAAAGAGAACTTTTTTCACGGGCCAAACCAGAGGCTGCCCTAGGAAGATTTTGAGGTGGTGCGAGATCTCATTGTGGTGTCACCCCGTAGAGACTAAATTGTACATAGAGATTACAGATACATTTTTCACATTATCATGCTTTATCAACAATCTATGCTGTACTTAAGAGATTTGTAATGGAGGGTTAACTCTAAATGCACAGTGAGTGACCTTTTTCTTTTTTTTCGTTTCAGGCGTCAGAATTTTTCATCGAGTTAGTCGGACTTCAGTAGCTAATGTTGAAAGATTAATCACAGGCCACATAAGTTCATTAGATGGGCTGGATCCGGCCTGTGGGCCATATGTTGGCCATGCCTGATTTAACCTGTAATCTATCTTGCATTTTTACTCCTTCTTTTAGGCTAGCTCTTTCTATTAAGTCTTATTTTTACTGTTTTTCTCAAAACATTGTAATGTTGAACAATTTTTACATCTTGACTTAATAAATTTTAAACACATATGTAAATACATACTATATACCCCATTTCCCCAAAAATAAGACAATGTCTTATATTAATTTTTACTCTCAAAGATGTGCTAGGTCTTATTTTCAGGGGATGTCTTATTTTTCCATGAAGAAAAATTCACATTTATTGTTGAACAAAAAAAATTCCAAAGTCGAAGTTTGACGAAGGTGATGTTGACATCGGGCTCGATGACCAATTAGTGCTTACTGAACCATAGCACTATGCAAATGTGATGTGGTGTGATTTCCAGCCGACCAATTAGTTATCACCAGCCGTAACGTTATGTAAATCTGTGATTCCCAAGCCATAGTCTTATGCAAATCATGCTGTGTGGCATGATTGTCTGCTGACCAATCAGTGGCTGTACTTTCAAAAAGCCAACAGCCACTTTCAACCATCTGTCGATGACCGTTACAACTAAAAAAAAACTTTGCTAGGTCTTACTTTTGGGGGAGGCCTTATATTTAGCAATTCAGCAAAACCTCTGCTAGGTCTTATTTTCAGAGGATGTCTTATTTTCGGGGAAACACGATAATATGCAATCTTCTGTTGATCTACAAATATTTTTTTCTGCACAATTGTTTGTTATAGGTATATTTTTCTTTTGTTAGTGCTTTTAATGATCTTTATTTCTTTTTTAATTTGGGGAGAAAATAAGTTGTCCAGTGACACTTCCTATTGTGTATGTAAAATAAATAAATTGTTGAATTTCATTGAATGATGATAATTTTTTTTATAAATTAATTGAAGACACAGACTGTCCAAAAATTTTTGGTAAACCATCATTTATTCACTTTATGTATTCCAAAACATAAACCTCTGACGACCTGACCTTCTTTTTTAGGCTACTTGGCTGTCAAGTTTAAAAGCAGTCATTTAAAAAACACAGAAAAATATTCAATTAAAATTATAAAGTTAAAATTATAAAAAGAAATTCAACGATTAAAAGTTTACAAGCATTCGTCACCAGGGGGAGGCTATAGAAATCTACATTTACCAGCACATTTCTCCAGCAGATATAAGGGCCTGAAAATACCCAAATGGAAAAGATGAAGAAACAGGAAGATAACTGTAAGATCCACCAGTTCCAATTTTAACTTTATAATTTTAATTGAATATTTTTCTGTGTTTTTTAAATGAATGCTTTTAAACTTGACGGCCAAGTAGCCTAAAAAGAAGGTCAGGTCGTCAGAGGTTTATGTTCTGGAACACGTAAAGTGAATAAATGGTGGTTTAGTAAAAAATTTTTGGACAGTCAGTGTCTTCAATTAATTTATAAAAAAATAAATAAATATTTGAAAGATAGAAAGCCTGAAGATACAAGTATTTGTTAATAGTAAAATTTTTGCTGGTAGTAAGGTGTCTAGTGTTTATTTAGTAATTCAAACCAGCAGATTTGTTACATTTATAGTGATTTTTTCAAAAAAATAGTTTGCACAGTTTTAAAAACAATAAATTGAATATCAAACTCAGCTTCCTTTTAAAACATTTAATAAAACATTTAACACCTTATAACGCTGAAAATATTTATTAAATCACAAACGTTTTCAGCCTAATGGAATAGGCCATCATCAGGTGACAGGGCATCCGTGTCTACATGCTTTAATCTAACATCCTCTTTTCTATCCTAGTACTGACCATTACATGTTACAACCCAGTGATCACCTGAATCTCCTTCTCCTTTATCACCAAATGCAGTAACTTCTTGATTACCAGAGAGAGGTGAAAATAAATGACTATGAAGATGTTTTTGAGTTATTAAATGTTCTAATCTGATTGTGTCTCCACATGAAATAGGTTCTCCTCTTGTACATGTTTTTCCATTTGGTCCTTTAATTACCCAATGACTAGAAAGAAAGTTTTGTGCGTGATTGGTTATTTTTTGAATATAATAATTACATGAAATGGATGATTTTGTATCACGTGATTTGTATTCGCCAATGATAAGCGTCCGGAATTGTATGTAGTGTAGTCATGTATATAGTTTTTATCACTTCTGATGAGAAAGAAGATTGTTGGAGAGCATCGATATGCTAAATGCACCTTAGTGGTCCTGGCAATTTATCTATATATATTAATTAGAAAGTGTTTTGCTGTATGTGATAACTTTCATTCTGATGATGTCTATTTCATATAGACAAAAACATTAGTAAATTTTTCTTTTCATAGTGCTAGTGTTGGTTTTGTATGTGATGTATGAAACAGCACTCATACATTTCATTATTGCTATCTCCATTTTATATTACAGAATTTCAGTGGTTAATATTTTTTATTCAGATATATCTAGTTTTTTTCACAATGAAAATAAATGATTTTTAGGATTTTATTCACAATGCTATTATTTCATGGAATAAAAATTCTAAGATATTATAAAAGCAGATATTATAAACATAAGATTATAAAAACAAGGATTTAAAACTGGCATAATTTAGAGCTATAATAAAGTGACTAGACATCCTGAATTAGGCAGTACTACTTTTGAACTATTCATAATTATATTCAAAAATAGCTAATATTCACGCATGAGTAAGTCAAAGATGAAAAAATAACATAAAACAACAACTTACAGATAAAAAGTCACACCTTAAACTATATTTAATAAAGAAAAATATTTTTACCTAGTTGATAGGTCTATCAATTGAACTGATGAACTTCACATGGTATACACTCACAGTCTGAGAACAGTGAATGTACTGTATACCAAGTAATATTGTGTAAATCAGTTATGAAAAGAAGAGTTCATGATTTTCACTAATTATCTAAATTTTTTTACTTAGGTAAAAGGCAGTTAAAGCAAACAAACTATGCTCATAGCCATAATTAACTGTTTATTGCTGCTAATACTAAAGGTCGTTATTTTATAAATAAGAGAGTTTGACTGTATTCTTATTCTACACTGGCGGAAATTGAAAGTGTTACACCCACTCAGTATAGTCGAAGACATATGAAATTGGGGCAAAAGAATCTTTTTTTTGAAGGGTATTGAATGATCAAAAATTAAATGAAGTACATACAGTGGTATGGAAATTATGGAGACATTTGTTATGCAAAATTGCTATAGTGTTTAGTTTATAAGTTGTAAACTGTGTTAGGGAACATAACTTTTTTTGGTCCACAGGTTGTTGGTGACCAGCTATGCCATATTAATGAGTGAGAACTCTGTACACCCAAATGTCTGGCTTTGAAAGAGGTCAGATAATTGGCATGTTAGAAACGGGAGCATCATATTGTAAAATCACCCAAAGGACTGACCGTACTGCAATGTCAGTACAAAGAGTGGTCACAAGGTGGATGCAGGAAGTGTCCAGTACTCGCAGACCTGGCACAGATCCATGCAGAAGAATGACGCCACATGAAGACCACCATATTGTGCAGATGGCAGTTGCTAACAGATGGGCAATGGTGTGAGGTTTGCCGATTGGGGAGAAAGTGTCGCGACAGTCAAGCGGTCAGCACTGTCGTGTGGGAGTGAAAAAACTTACTGAGACAGGTTCTCCATCGTATACCGTTTAATAAATATAAAAATTTTTCTTACAACAAATCCTTAAAAACGGCGTAACACCTATCCAAAGTCGAGCAACAAGTTCGTAACACTAAAAGTTCAACTGTTCTGACGATAGTTTTTCTTCCAGCGATGGCGGCATGAAGACGTTGACTCCGGGCTGCACAACACTATTTGAACCAAGGTCTTCTATCTACAAGGTGGACTTTAGCAATCTTGATGGCACGGGAGGGTGAAGACAAGTCCTCCGAATATCTGACAAGTTCTCGTGGGAGAATGTCCGGATGACAAGAATCCTGGAGAGGAGCATTGCGAACCAAAGGCCAAGAACTACGAACCAAGAACATCACATCCTATTTTTGCGTGGTTTTTATAAGTTTTTTCTGGATCCAAGATTGAACATTCCGATAGGTCGATGCCGATCTACCCCTGCTCTCTAATTGGTCCCCTCCTCGTTACGAATTGTAACGAGATTGGTGCCCAGATCGCAGGGTGAGTCAACTCCGACTGACAATTTGATTCCTATCGAAGACGTTCGATCTAAGTACTCAAATTCATCCATTGTTTTAACCTGAGTAGTTTGACTTTCTTAGAAAATTTTACAGATATGTCCTTATATGGACATAAAATATTCATTTTGCATTTGATGGTTTCTTTTTACAATAAGATTAATAATTATAAAATTTTTTTCATACGAAATTAAAACATTTTCTGTACACGAATTTCGACCTACTTCCGGAGTCTCACAATGGCAGCACATATCCGAGCAGTAGTTAATGCCAGAGTCACCCCACAGACAATTGTAAACCAATTGCTTGATGCTGGACTGAGATCTCGGACCCCCATGCAATGTGTTCCTTAACCAGATTTCATCGCCAACAACAGCTAACTTGGTGTGCTGCTAGACGTAACTGGACACATGAATGGTGTACAGTTGTGTTTAGTGATGAATCCCGATTCTGTTTAGGCCAATGTGATAGTCAGCAACATGTCCACTGGCATGTTGGAGAAACAGCCCACCCTGTTGTAATTTCAGAGTATTACTCAGGTCCAACTACTGGTGTCATGGTTTGGGAGGCAATCAGTTATGAGAGCAGGACCAAGTTGGTGGTTGTTGAAGGTACAATGACCGTCCGCCAGTATGTTGACNTTTAATAATACTAAACATTGAAGCAGCCACCACAATAATAACAAATATTGTAAAGAACAAATATACATTTAAAATTAAAATTGATTAAATATTCATGTGCATTATAACAGATTTAATGTTATATTCACTCAAATAGTCAAAAAAAAACATTTTTTTTGCCTCAAAAACCATTAAAATATCAGAAAACAAAAGAAAACTTTGTAGATTAATAAGTGATTAATTATATTCATAAATTTATAGACAATTTTTATATTTTAAATCACTCTCTCTGCTATAAAGATTAAAGTTTATTAATAAATTATTACAAATATTGAAATTTTTCAAATTATATAAAAATTAAATTGAAGAATATAACTTATCTTTATCAAGAAAAATTTCATTTAAATCAGTCATTTTTAATTTGATCAGATTTGAAACTTTGATATTAAAAACATACTTTAATCTTTCAGCTTCATCTTCTGATATTTCTAATAAAGCTACTGAATCTTCAGTTATTTCCATATCTGGTGATAAAATACCATAATTAGGCAACAGTTGCCTAAAATTTGTAAAAGCTCCTGTACAAATCACAACTCTCTGTGCTTCAATGATATTACCACAATCAGTTGTTATCTGTAAATTTATAATGCATTTACTTTAAATGTTTCCTAATAGTATTAATAATCATATGAAAAAGAACAATTCAGAAAATATGGTATGGAAATTTTATTCTATTTAATGTCTTTTTTTTTTTTTTAATAAAGATATTTTACTTTCAAACAGTCTGAACTATCACATACTAAATGCATATTTCATCTGATATACAATCAATCAGATCACTTCCTTACAAATTTTATACTGATTCTAAAAATCTTAATTATATTCAAGAAAGAAATATAAGCTTCAAATAAACAAAACTTTCTCAATCCTAAAACTACTACTCTAGAAATATGTTGGAATGTCTCATTTCATGGAATAAAATTTTAACTATATTGACTTTTTAAATCTATTTTTCATCATTTTAAGACATCTTATCAGAATTTATATTAAGAGATGAATAGTTTTAATAATTAATAAAAATATTTTTAATTTTTTATATATTATTACTGAAAAATGAAACGTTTTTATATAGTATCTTTACCTGTAAATGATAGAAACATATACAAAACAAAAATTTCAGCAAAAAAGTCATGTTTAAGTATATGTATAAATTATCTATTAAATATTCAAAATTAAATAAAATTATTTTCATTTCTTTACTTAGTATGTAAAAATTTAATGCAATATTAAATATTGAAGTAGGAAAAAATACTTACAGTAGAGCATCGATTATCTGAAACAACTCGGGAATGGGATTGTTCGGATAACTGATCATTTATGAAAAAATATATTAACACAAAACTGTACTGTATATATTTTGTATCATATGTCTTACAAATACATATCTTATATAAAGTAGTACATTAAAGTAGACCTACAGTTTAGATTAACAGGGAGGGAAAGAGTGCTGCAACACCACAGCACTAGCGGAAATTTGAATTTGTTGACTGGAACACTTTTGGTTAACCGATGTTTTGATTGATTGGTATTCAGATAATTGATGCTCTACTGTATTTATAAATAAAATTCTCTCTCTATGACTATTTAATCATTGTATAAGTAAGGGCCCTAGGTTTTTGAATTTTACAACAAAAATCTTATTTTGATATGTTTATATAAATATTCAAGTATCTCTGTTGTGTTTAATTATGATAAAATAAATACCAAACACCTTATTACCAGCAAAAATTTTACTAAGAACAAATGATTTTGGTCTAATACCCTCTTTGGGTTCTCTAGCTTTCAAATACATTAAAAAATTTGCATTATGAAACAGATATTTGAAAATGTGTTCCAAAATGTAAGGAACAATTTAAACTGCAAAGCGTACTAAATAATTTAAAAGTATGATAAAGAAATAAATAAAGGTAACAAGAAGTAACATCCTTTAAACATGTTGCCCTTTATTTATTTATTTATTATACTTTTAAATTATTTAGTGTATTTTACAGTTTAAATTGTTCCTTACATATTGGAACACATTTTCAGTTATCTGTTCCATAATGCAATGAATTCTTTAATGTATTTTTTCCTTAAACTGTGATACCCTCTTACCCTTTTTATATACAAACTTATTCAATACATTAACTCTTTTAATGACCTTGGAATAATCTTAGATAATAAACTTACTTTTAAAAGACACACTGATAAAATAAAATCTTTAGCTATTTGTTGAAATATACTATGGCACTTTTGTACATCCATTTCATCTAAAACTATGTTCAATACAGTACTATATTCCCTCTTCTCTGCTAACTTCCAATAGTTATTTGATTATTGCCTTCTAATTTTGGCAATCATTGCTCCATCTCATTTTACTAAAATTTCTAAGGAATTTGATAAAATTTATCTTCTTTTAAACAAACTTGCTAACCTCCCATTTAGACCTAATCTTGATGTTGTTCTTGATGTTAATCTTGATGATAATAAGTCTAGATTGAGTCTTCCATCTCTTACTGATCATGTTAAATATTTTGATCATTTACTTTTTACAAATATTTCAATGGTTTTATTTACTTCAAATTGGCTTTCCCTACAGGTTCCCCAGAGGAATATTTAACCCAGAGGTGGCCAACAGTTTTTGCCTTCGGGCCGAATTGGAAAGAGAACTTTTTTCACGGGCCAAACCAGAGGCTGCCCTAGGAAGATTTTGAGGTGGTGCGAGATCTCATTGTGGTGTCACCCCGTAGAGACTAAATTGTACATAGAGATTACAGATACATTTTTCACATTATCATGCTTTATCAACAATCTATGCTGTACTTAAGAGATTTGTAATGGAGGGTTAACTCTAAATGCACAGTGAGTGACCTTTTTCTTTTTTTTCGTTTCAGGCGTCAGAATTTTTCATCGAGTTAGTCGGACTTCAGTAGCTAATGTTGAAAGATTAATCACAGGCCACATAAGTTCATTAGATGGGCTGGATCCGGCCTGTGGGCCATATGTTGGCCATGCCTGATTTAACCTGTAATCTATCTTGCATTTTTACTCCTTCTTTTAGGCTAGCTCTTTCTATTAAGTCTTATTTTTACTGTTTTTCTCAAAACATTGTAATGTTGAACAATTTTTACATCTTGACTTAATAAATTTTAAACACATATGTAAATACATACTATATACCCCATTTCCCCAAAAATAAGACAATGTCTTATATTAATTTTTACTCTCAAAGATGTGCTAGGTCTTATTTTCAGGGGATGTCTTATTTTTCCATGAAGAAAAATTCACATTTATTGTTGAACAAAAAAAATTCCAAAGTCGAAGTTTGACGAAGGTGATGTTGACATCGGGCTCGATGACCAATTAGTGCTTACTGAACCATAGCACTATGCAAATGTGATGTGGTGTGATTTCCAGCCGACCAATTAGTTATCACCAGCCGTAACGTTATGTAAATCTGTGATTCCCAAGCCATAGTCTTATGCAAATCATGCTGTGTGGCATGATTGTCTGCTGACCAATCAGTGGCTGTACTTTCAAAAAGCCAACAGCCACTTTCAACCATCTGTCGATGACCGTTACAACTAAAAAAAAACTTTGCTAGGTCTTACTTTTGGGGGAGGCCTTATATTTAGCAATTCAGCAAAACCTCTGCTAGGTCTTATTTTCAGAGGATGTCTTATTTTCGGGGAAACACGATAATATGCAATCTTCTGTTGATCTACAAATATTTTTTTCTGCACAATTGTTTGTTATAGGTATATTTTTCTTTTGTTAGTGCTTTTAATGATCTTTATTTCTTTTTTAATTTGGGGAGAAAATAAGTTGTCCAGTGACACTTCCTATTGTGTATGTAAAATAAATAAATTGTTGAATTTCATTGAATGATGATAATTTTTTTTATAAATTAATTGAAGACACAGACTGTCCAAAAATTTTTGGTAAACCATCATTTATTCACTTTATGTATTCCAAAACATAAACCTCTGACGACCTGACCTTCTTTTTTAGGCTACTTGGCTGTCAAGTTTAAAAGCAGTCATTTAAAAAACACAGAAGATTACCACAG